CGTTTGCACGATTCTAAGGCTTGAGAACATGTTTAGTCTTTAAAGACAGAGAAATCTTAGACTGGCTTTTCTTCAGCTTGAATCTCAGTAGACATTACGCATGACCGTGGGTTATTTTCTGAATTCTTTCCAGATAATGTAGTTTTGAAGTCCAATTTTCGGCGAAACATTTAGTGGTCTCGCGTTGCTGGCAACGTCCCCAGATGCCATTGTGAAAAAAGTCGACGATGCAATTGTTGTCCGACACACAACCTTCTCGCACGTCATGACAGCGTGTATACTTAACGTAGCATACTTCTCATCCCCCATAGAAATTCATTAATGTGTTATTTGCGAGCATGCAGGGTGCGGTTGAAAGTGCGCATGCAAGTGCGTTGACCTTCTCGGTTTTCTCTGGGCTGATCGTTTCGAACGCGTACCGTCCTTGACGATTAACATGCCATTCTCAATCCAGCACTGGGCACACTTGAAGCGCTACGTCTTAGCACCAGCAAACTTCCACCCCGTTGAAACATTGCAGTCACATGCGCGTCATGCAGCTGCCTTTTTCCCGTTAAAGGCTCGAATTGCGTAGCACCAAAAAGCAGTGTGTGGCGCTATAAATTTGTGTGAAGGCGACAAAATTCAAGGTTAGGCTTAGCTATCGTGTCTAAGGTCTGCTATAACAAACGCGCCACATTTGCACTTATTCTATACCGCATTAGTAACGTGTTCTACAGGAGATTCTTGAACGGCGTCCTCTGCATCATAATTGAATATCATAACAGGGAGATACATTTTCTCATTTACAACGTTTTAAGATGAATTACGGTTCCACGTTATTACTTTGAAGAGCTGCTAGTTGTTACTTGGTACCGTAACTACGGAAAACATGGGATCAGAGTTTTGCATTACGTTTCCTACGCACAACAAATTCTAAGCCATTTATGCGTTTTTCTCCGAAAGCTTTATTCGTTTTTTTAAAGTGTGAGTAGCTATCAGCAGCTCAGCTGGGAAAGCTTTGGAAAACAAAAAAGCATTAAAATCAAAACTCAAAAATTTTAGTTAGTTCACGTACTTCTAGAAAGTTTCCCCCTGACATATCTAGATCGGTCTTTTGCTTCTCGTCCCGAGTTATATCCAAGCTCTACAACCTTTGCTCCGTCCTATTGAAGATTAGAAGTATTAATTGATTATCAAGTGTCAATAGTCGCACTTCAGAAAAAGATTACCAAAACAAGGTACTTCAGATTGCACTTCGTAGACGCCTCCCATCACCTCAAAAATTCTCGGGCTAGCAGTCATTATTCATTGCCTTAAACAACTTGTCAGAAGCTTTTGTTCATGGTTCTTGCAAAATCAACTTCTTTCCCTTTTTTTCGCATATATATACATATATAAACACTTGAAGGACTAGCCGACCAAATGAATCATGATGTAGTTCATGTCGGACATGCTGAACGAACGGCATTTTTCAGTAATGATTCATTG